CACGCGAAGCCCCGCCGTGCGCGCGAGCGCAGGAGCCGCAGGGCCGTGCGAGGTCCTGTGCCCGTCTGGGGGTCGCGCCGCCTCCCGGCGGCCTTCCTCCCCCGCCGGCGGCCGCTCTTGCTGACCCCTCGTCCTCTCACCGTCTGCTCTGATTGCCGCCACCTCCCCGCCCTCAGGCGCGGGCCCAGCAGCGGGGGCGCGTGGGTGCCAGCCGGGGTCCCTAATGAGCTGACTCAGTCTCCGGCCTCCCAAGGGTGCCCCAGGGGCTACCGCGAAGTGCTAAGAAGCGGCGACTTCCGGGAAGCCCGGTAGAGCGGGGCTCGGAGCCAGGATGAGCCCCGGGAACAGGAACAGGGCTGGGTGGACCCCGCTGCGCCCGCTGGGGTCGGCGCTCGGTGGTTGACTGGGACCCAGGACTGGAGGTGACTTGGAGCAAGGGGCGCCAATCTTGTAGGGCCCTGCAGGCTTTGCAAGAATTTGGAGTGTACCTGAGGAGCGGGTGTGTTGGTGTGAACCGGGCAGCTGCAGATCTCACTCGTGATTTATAATAAGCACCCCCACCTCCGCAGCCTCTCCCGCGTTTGTTATTATTTGATTTCTTGATGGTGGCCTTTCCCTCTGGGGCGAGATGGATCTCAGCGCAAGGATAAACTTGAGGCGTTTGCAGGAAAACGGATGCACTTCGAGATCATCAGGTTAAGGGAAATAAACCAGACACACAAACTTCGATGGCACGCGGTTTCTCTTCTGCGAGAAACCCAAAGGATAAAGAGCAAAATAAAAGGCTACCGGAAGTAGAGAGAGTAGGATTTTTTTAAAGATCTTCCTCAAAGGGGTAAGGGATGGAAAAAATAAAGAATTGAGAGAAAAAAATTCAAGCAGCTTTTGCCAATGGGGAAGGAGACCAAGAATTGGAAGGAACGGGGTGGGAGGAGAGTGTAGGGCAGAAAAAGAATTTAGATGTGTTCTGTACATGCGCTCCTCCTCACAATAAATGTGATCATTACTCACAGCAAACATGGACTCATAACAAATTTAAGAAATAGAATAATCTTGGGCTGTGGGTGTAGCTCAGGGGCAGAGCGCTTATGTACAACACAAGATCTGGGTTTGATCGTCAGCTTGGAAAACGGATAAACAAAATTTGCCGGGCTGCTGAGCAGTAGGGGGACAGAGAAGGCGGCCACCAAGGTAAGCGGAGCCAAAGCTCCGGATGGCCCGGTAGAGGCGGTCAGGGAGCGGGGGATTCTGGTAGATTCGGAATTCAGAACCAATGGGAGGTGGTGAAACCGGCTGTGCTGTCAGCCCCAGGGACTCCCAGGCTTTCAGCGGCGCAGCTGCAAGCAGTGATTTGCCCTCCTTGGGGTCAGCAGGGCAGCGGTGTAGAGGCTTGGGGAGGCGGGAGACTTTTTATTAGAGATCTGAAAAGATGTGTCAGGTTAGCGGTGAGGCTGGGTCTAGAGGAGAAGTCTGGGCTGGGGCTGGGGCTGGACCTGGGCCCGGCTCTCTCCAGGCCATAGAAGGAAGGGAGAGGGTGGGACCCGCCCTG